TCACTTGCTGGAAAAAAAAATAGGTAAAACACTAAGAATTGTGTGTCAGAGGCAAAAACTGGAGTGAGAGGGGAGCGAGAGCAAGAAAAGGGAGTGAGTGAGGGAGAGCAAGCAAGTTCGAGTGTGAGAATCGCTCCTGCCCTCTGTCTTCACACTGCTGCCTGTATGTATGTGTGCGCGCCGCCTCTCCCCGCACTCACTCTCTCTCTCTCCCTCTCTCTCTCTCTCACACACACACTCAGACGTGCGCATACACAGACCAAGGGGGAGAGAGGGAGTGTGAGGGGAGAGAACACATCGCAGCAGAGATGCAGCAGGAGGTTTTCCGAGGTACGTTCTCTTGTATGCTTGCCTTCCTGAGACACAGACAGAGAATAAGAGGAAGAGAGGCTGAATTCTGTTATTTCCTTGCTTGTTTTTCTGCTCCACTCCGCCGCTGTGGCGCTGGTTGCTACGCATGTGAAGAGGAGGAAAAGATTTTTATTTTACAGTGCTTGTGTTGGGGCATGAGTGCTGATGGGTGTGCGTATTTATGTAGTGTGTGTTTGTGGAAGCGTATTTATGTGTGTGTGCGCCTGTGGCTGAGGCTGTCTGTGCGTATGTGTGTGTGTGTGTGTGTGTGTGTGTGCCAGTAACAGGCCTCGTCTCCCTCATCCTCCCCTCTGTCGCTGGCGCACCACGCAGTTCTTTTTTAAAGAGCAATGACTCGTTTTGAGATTGTGATGAAACTTTTAATTCATAGAAGCCACTTTCGTCTGTGTAATTCATTGTAGACTTGGGGCGGCCTCCATACATCAGAACAGGTGTTAAACATGATGTGAGCTTTGTTGTTGGGGTCTTAACATGATGGGTCAGTCTCCCACCCCTACCCATCAACTTAGGAGCAACATTAGAGGAAGTGCTTTGGAAGAAAAACTTGGATGTAGGCGATAGTAAACATTTCTAGTTCCTCCGTCTGTTTCTGTTTCTTATTTCAGTTTTGGGACGTTCAGGTTGTCCTCCATTTTATCCGTCTCTTACTTTGCTGGAGGTTGTCATACAGCAGCAGACGGCATGTTTATGTCACCAACAATGGTGTTGCTGCCCATAACCCCCCCCAAAACAACAGTATCTGCTACCAACTACTCCATGTTCCTGGTTTCCATGGATGCCATGCCAAGGCCCTGTGTTTAATGTATGGAAAATATGACCCACACTGCCACAGGCATTAGGGATTAGGGTCATAGGTCAGATAATAGGAAGTGTAGTTTCTCGCTCCTGTATGGTGCCACACAGATGATGTCATCACAGTGGGGGCAGCCTTTTTATTTTGGTCATGTTTGTTTGGGTCTTGCATTAGATAGATCATGTCTGTTGAAACTGCCTTTAAGCCCTTTTCTGCCCTGGACATTAAAATGCTAGTGTGCAAGTTTTGTGGTTTGCAAGATGAAGATGGTTTGCTTTGTTTACATTATGCAGTTATTTTGAAAAGCCACATAAAGGATGTTGATGTACCAAAGTGCAGTTGCATTCAGGAAGCTGGTGCAGAGCTTCATTCTCTGTCAACCGCCATAGTTATACTTGCAGTATGTAACGACTTCTGTAGCATGCATCATCCTTACTCAAATGTTTCTTGGTTGTAGGCTCAGAACACCAATAGGGCTATCACAGCCTCTTCAACAGGGACTCTGCATCAAATTGAAAATGATTTTGGGGAAATTACCTCAAAAAGGTCACCAGTGTAGTGTTACTGCTCTCCAGGGGTACTATTCAGCCTTACTGTTTCCTAATGCCTCCCGTGATTCTGTTGAAGCAAGCAGAATTATGGGCATTATGTGCTGGGGTGAGAGCTAACAGACAGTGGAAAACGTATTTTAAACATGGGCAGGTTTGAGTGGCATGTGAAAACTTCACATGAGGAGGAGGTAGCATGCTGAGGGAGATCTGTAAAACATGGAAACCATGAAATGTGAACATGGATGAGATGTGTTTGAAGTTACCCCTACATCCCCTGCTCACTCCACCACAAACACTGCTACCACCTGTGCTCAACCACTCCCCAGCCCATACAAACTTCCCCTACCCTTACCTCCTCCCCTTCCTCCCTCTATCCCATCTGGCTGGCTCCTCCACGCTCTCTTGGCCGGGGGGTTGTGGAGAGTTCAGTAGCTGTTCTTGCTAACGATGCCCCCCTACTCACACTCTTACACACACACACACACCCTCCTCTTCACAGACCAACTGCTGCTCTGATCGTTGGGCCCCTCTGGCTGCCCCTCACTGGGGAGAAAGCCCAACCGACACCTTCCTCTTCCCGCATGCTCCTTGCCGCTGGCTCACCGGCTGGAACACCGAGGCCCCCCACATTCCGGCTTGCAGGCACTTCCCTAAAGTCTTCACACACACTCGTACACAAACACACGTGATAACAGCACATCCTTGCTTAAGATATAGTTAAAGGATCCTTTTGGTTTATTACAACTTATTTCTGTAGTACTGACTGTCACTAATAATAACATCTGTGAATGCAGTGAAAATGCCTAGAAGAAATATAAAGACTAAACATGCAAATTACAGACCGACGTCCTGTTTCAGTGCATTCGTAAGGTTACTGTAGCTTTGTGCACACACAGGTTTCCTGTGCAGTGTGATGCATACAAACATTTCATGTGTACTCACTGTCAGTTTTACCTCAAAATAGTGTTTCAGATCACCTCTAAACTCACTGGACTGCCCGCATTCCTCTCCATGTATTAATTTTCTGTGTTCTTGGATTACAGCAGCTCCTTTTGTGAGTGCAGTGATGCTAAAACTATGAAAATAAGACCCAAGTTGTAATCAATCAGGGCTGTGGTGAGAAAAAGCACGAGAACTGGGAAAACTAGAGAAACCGTGATTATTTTAAGCTGTATTTTATGAAAGAAATTTTAATGAGGCTTTGGTACTAATGCCAGCTGTTTATATTCATATTAAAATGTGAAAGCAAATAAAGTGCCACTAAAGCAGTATTAAAAATGTAATTTGTTAGGATGAGACCTTTAATCTTCAGTTATAAAAACTGTACCAAATAGTTCAAAATGGTTCATTTTAAAAGCCAAATGAAGTTTTTGTTGGCACTGATTTCTCTTTGAACTGTATAACCGCACAATGCTTGTGGTTAGATTTTTTAGAGGAATTTCCTTTGAGGTGGAAGTTGGCAAAAAAGAAGTGTGGTTACTGGTTATTGAATCCTGACTCTCACCACAAGTACCAGTTTTGTGTGGGATAAACAGATTGCTCAATGGCTGATTCAGGACCCTGAGCTGGCGCACCAACCACACTCCTCTGCCGCCCTGGCTTTTGCTTTACATGGCCTCTCCAGCAGTGATGTCTCTAGTGACTGATTTCAGTGGATTACTAACTAATGTCCATCATCACTAAGTCCATGATTTCAGATGCTGGTACCAAAGTATCTCAAAGTAAAATAGTAAAACTTTTATTTTGAATTTGTCCCAAAAATCAAGCAGACAATGCTAGGATTATTGGCTGAAACAGCACTTTTAATTCCCCTGTGTTAATCAGTTTTAATGAATGAGACTAATCTGTGCTATTTCTACTGACTTAACATTGAAAGAGTGAAATTCCCAGATTCAAAAGCAGACAGTGTTTACCTTTGCCATTTGATATGAAATACAAATTCAGTTGCTATACAGCTAAAAGTATGCCTCTGTTCTTGCCGTTATATGAAAGCCCGTTGTATCATGTGTGCTATGTTTACCTGCTAGTTAGTAATTTGTCCTGCACCAGCTGAGCACCTGTTCGTGCTAGGAGGTGCCACAAGCATAAATAGATGAACATTTCGTAGGCCGACCGACATGTTTGTGCAGAACATCCTGTCGCAGAGAGGTGTAGGAACAGGGTTGTTGTTTATTTTGGTTTTGCTGTAGGGTCCTTGTCACATTCACGGTCACATTTGTTTGTGTCTCAGAGTTACAGGGTGTGTTTATTAGTATATCCACTCATCTACGCTTATAAGAACGAGATAATAGTGCTTTTCTTCATGTCCTATGTGGTTGTTCGCACAGTTCGTTGTGTAATGTGAACCCAGTGCATTCAAAGTGTGTTAAAAGCTGCCTGTCACAGTCAGACAGCGAGTCGTGCGTGCTCAGCTTGTGCAGCAGCTGTGTGCGTCACAGGGAGAAAGGGAGAAAAAGAGCGAGGGGGCGTCATACGCATTTTCCTGTCCGCGGCGCAAGCATCAAATGAGATGGTGAAATTTTTAGCATTAGCACTGTCTGTCAGTGTGTCCACCCACTTGTAGCCGTCTGGCACTTGCCATAAGGGATTTCCTGCACAACATTAACCGCTCAGTAAATGTGAGTGACAATGAAGGCCTGATTCAGAGCAGAGCAAAAAAATATGGCAAGCCTGGTGAGACAGGATTGTACATCCTTGTTTTCAGACAGATCATCTTGACTAGGCCTTGAACTGGATTGTTGTCTGTACAACAAGTGTGTGCCACTGTTTGCACTAAGTACGTCAATACTGAACACGCAGTTTCCCTTTTGTTGACGAGTTAATTCCACCTGTGCCTTCACTCTCAGTGCTGTGTTTCACTCAGACTCTTGGTTTTGAATGTCATTTACAAGTGGGCTCAGTCATGCTGACGTACTTTGTTTACACCTGTCTGTCTTGCCTGTGGACATGTATGAGCGTATGTCCAGCGTAGTGTAAATTCTGTGAATGTATATGTGTATGTTTGTCTAGGTGCTGGTTGTTTTTGTGTGTGTTAGTGTTTGCCTGGGCTTCTGTCTGTCTAACAGTGCAGTGTGTCTGACTGTTCTTGCTTCAAACCCCTCCTCTCTCCTTCTCTGTCTGTTGCTCTCTCACTAACCCTCACTCGCCTTCTCTCTCTCCCTTTTTCTATCACCCTTTCACTCTCCCTCATCCTCACCCTCTCTCTCCCTCCTCTTCTCTCTGCAATAACAGTGCTGACCTAGTTTCTGCCTGTTCTGGGCGGCCTGTGGAATTTTACAGCAGCCTGCCTTCCTGGCTGCTTTGCTGCTTGAAAACGCAGGCAGAAAAGCATGACTGAGGATTTTTCTTCTCGTCACATCATTATGGCCCTATACTGTCCCTGTTCTTCTCCGCAGTCTGCAGTCGGCAGACCTCAACAAATGAACCTTTTTAAATAAGTAATAACAGCACATTGCCTATCGCACATGAATCTGCAACTATGTATGGAGAAATTGCTGGAGGACTGCATCTGCCACCATGGCAGTCAAATTAGAATGGAAATGAGAATGGCCTGTCGCTCATCTTCTACAGCTTAGCTGAGATTGCACCGGATGCAGGGGGCGGAAAAACACCCCTTCTCCTTGCATATGAGTGCACCCTCCCTCCCTTCTCCTCTTCACCTCTTTCCTTTATGCCTGCCTTTGGCTTCACAAATAAATAGTTAAAGTCATGTCTGGCAAATACTAGCCATGGCCAGGAATGGCTAACAAGGCTCTTGCTCAGATAGCACAAGAGTGGGACTATTTTTATGTGCGTTAGTGCCACAGATCTAAGTCAACACTCTATTCTGAGACAATCTTGATTAAATCTGAATGCCTTCCAATTAGGCATAGGGAATGTTGTGTCACAGCCGAGAGAGATGGATCTGTGGAATGCCTTTCTGAAGGCTTGGCTGTGGCACGCAGAAATCTAAACCAGTGCTGCCGCAGATTCATTCCTTCCCCCTACACTCTCGCTCTTTCATTTACCATTCCTGGCTGAGCTGCTGGAGTTCAGCATTGCTGGGGCATTCAGTTTTCTTTGTCGTTTCTCGAAAGTGTTCCATGAAACCATGGCTGCTACTGCAAAAGCTTTGGGTGCAATGTTAATTTTTACTTCACGTAACTGTACATGTACATATATAGTAGAATGTTTATAATGCTAATAAGTTCTTTCTGACTTTTTTTCAGATTTCGGGGGCTGGTCATGGTGTCTGGTCAGAAGGCGTGGGACCCCATCCATGTGGGCCTTATTCAGTCACATCTGAGTGAACAGCACCTGGCCACTGGGCTAACCCCCCTCTGCAGCCTTACACATAGTGCAGCTAAGGACGCCACATATCAGCAGAGTCAGCAGTCACCACCTTTGTCTTCTCCGCCACTGTCATTTGTGGCTCAAGGCACCCTTCACCCAGTTCAGACTTCCTCACTGTTGCACCCGCCTGTCAATTTGTACAGCTCAAACAAGATCAAAGGACTACACAAACCAGTCTGCTGTCTTGGATTGGCCTTTCAGCCTGAAAAAGAGGAGGAGGAAGGGGAAGCTGAGCAGTTGGAGATGAAAGTTAAAAGGCATGGAGGCCGAGGAGAGGCCATGATGGATGACAGGCTGGAGGACATGTCTGATGGACCTAAAAATGCAAAAATCACCCTAAGCTTCCCACTTAGTGCCGCCCCTCTCCCAGCCTCTCTGACATCCCCAAGCCATGGTCGTAGCTCCTCCTCATCCTCCCCTTCCCCCCACAGACGGCGCCCATCCTCAAAGAGCTCAGATGAGGGTTCACTGTGGAAACTGGATGCTACCATGGATGTAAAGCACAGACCTTTTAAGCCCCCTAGGCATGACAGCTCTCCGTCCTCTTCACCCTCTTCCTCCTCATCTCCCATGACTGTTCATGCAGTTCTCAGAAAGGATATAAAATCCCCGCCTCCTCTAAAGTGCTCCAAACTCAATTCAGAGACTCAGTTTCCCAGGTCACCCCAAAGATCCTCCAGCGGGTCTTTAGGGGGCTGTTATGGTGGAAATGGATGGGATGAGAGACACAGGGTGGCCAACGGCACAGCCTCGCCCTCTCAGACTGCCCAGATCCTCTTCAGCCTGGGCACATCGCCCTATCAAAGAGGCGGGGATGCAGAGAGGAGGGAGAAAATAACAGGGAGACCTGCTGGGAAAGTGGGAAGCCCTCATGGACCAAGTCTTCACCCACCCACCCTCCACCTCCCTCCCCCCTTACCATCACCACCTCCGCCCCCATCTGAGGGTCTTACCGCACCTCCTCACCCATCCTCCTATTCCCCTACTGACAGCTTGAAGCCTGAGCTGATTTGCGGAGTGTGCCGTCGGCTTTTCAGCTCTGCCTCCTCCCTTACAGTCCACATGCGGCTGCATCGCGGTAGCCGTGCACTCAGTTGCCGTTACTGTGGCAAAGTCTTCATCCACAGCAAGAGACTGCAGTCCCATGAGGCCTCCTGCAGAGTGCCAAACCTACCCTCCAGTAGCCTGGGTCCTCCTTCTCTCACTCTACAGCCAAAAGAAGAGCCACTGGAGGAGGGTGAGGTGAGAGTGGAGGGGGGAGTGATTGTAGGACAAACAGACATCAGTAAGGCACGGCCAGGGAAGAAAGCACGGAGCCTCCTGGCACGCATCCAAAGTGATGATGCAGCAGCCACAGAGCTACTGGCGGGCGATGAGAACCATTTTGTGAAGGTGGTAGATGGCAATGTCATTTACTTCTGCTCTGTGTGTGAGCGTTCCTACATGACTCTGTCTAGCCTGAAGCGTCACTCAAATGTGCACTCCTGGCGCCGCAAATATCCATGCCATTACTGTGACAAAGTCTTTGCCCTGGCAGAGTACCGCACAAAGCACGAGGTGTGGCACACAGGAGAGCGGCGCTACCAGTGCATCTTCTGCTGGGATGCCTTTGCTACCTACTACAATCTAAAAACACACCAGAAGACTATCCATGGGATTAATCCCAGCCTCATTTCCAGTGAAAAGACAGCCAACGGGGGTTATAAGCAGAAAGCTAATGCCCTTAAGCTTTACCGCCTTCTTCCCATGCGTTCCCAGAAGAGGCCCTACAAGACCTACAGTGACAGTTTGCATAATGGCCTGCTACTGCCATCAACTGAAACACCTTCCCTCTCCCTGCCTGGCCTGGGCTGTGCTTTGGACCCTGGGGACATACAAAGCTTCATCAGTGGGGCCCACCCTCAGAGTGTAAAGCCTGACCCAGATGCCTTCCCCAATGGCTTCCCTGTTTCTGTGGCTGCTGAGCACAGGGACCTCTCCTCACTAACACCCCTCCCCCAGACAGACATGCCCCATGTTAGAAAACATGATAGTGAGACCCTAGAGTTAGAGCAGGGAAAAGTCAGTGGCAGCTTCAAAATGTCCAGTAGCAACAAAACCAAAACTCTCAAGAATGGTAGAGGCACAGAAACAAGTATGCCCTCTGTGATAACATATGGCCATACAAAGCCCTCTGTCATAGTTCATGGAACAGCATTATCATCCTCTGTCATTGTGCATAGCAACCAGGTCACCTCTGGAAGTGACAAAAACCCAGTGAGCAGCCCATCCCCTGAAACCAGCAACAGTCAGACTTCACACAAGGGCAGCCCTAGGCCAATTAAAAAGCAAAGGCATAGTGCAGACAACCATAGAAAGAGGTCCAGAGACAGTTCAGACACCACAGACGAGGGCTCGAGAGGTAGACAGGATATAGAGAAAGGCCGATTATTTCACAAATCACACAAATCCCATAACAAGAGTGACATCTTTAGCTCAAAGCAGCTGTCAGCATCTCTAGGGTCACAGATCAAAGAGGCCGGGCCACTGTGCCAGATTACTGTACGTATTGGTGAGGAAGCCATAGTAAAACGTAGCATCTCTGAGACAGACCTGAGGAGAGACAAGAACCTTTCTCCCCCAAAAACCAAACGGAGTGAAACATCATCAGTGCGAGAAGTCAAGCAACCACTGCACTTTCACTCCCACCACCATCACCATAAACACCGTCTCCACCACAGAGCCAGCATGGAAGCAGAGGGGGATAAGGAGGGAGGAGACTGTGAGGAGGAGGTCAGAAAAAAGAGCTCTAAATCCCCCGATGAAGCGAGGGAGTACTACTTCCGTCAGGGGGTGCGTGAGCAGGAGAGCGACCATGACATGGAGGATAATTTATGGCGGCCTTACTACTCCTACAAGCCTAAGAGAAAGGCCCAAGCACATCTACAGAGGGTCAAGAGCTGGCAGAGAAAACTGAAGTACAAGCGCTCCATCCGGCTGAAAAGGAGGGCAGAGAGGCTCAAGAACCATGTGAATAAAGAACCAGAGAAATCACTAGATGAGGAAGAGGATGGGAATATTAAGGAGGATGAACAACTGTCTAAAGGTAACAGAGACAAGGGAGAGGGGAAAAAGAAAGATGATATTTCTGCCCCTTTAAAGGAGCAAAACAAAGCTGCAGAAGGACATATTAAGGAGACCCGACATGAGATTTCTACCCCTCCTCTGCACTCTCCGAAGTCTCCTCTGTCTACCTCAGTGGCTCCTACAGGAATAAAGCGGCGACCTTGGACCAATGGGAATGCAGCAGAGTGTGGTACATGTGGCCGCTGGTTCTCAAGCCCCAGAAAGCGAGACAAACATGAGCTGAGCCACCTGCTGGAGTTTGTATGCCTCTTCTGCCGAGCCACTTTCCCCTTGAGGGATAAATTGGAAGACCACCAGAGAGCCCAGCATCCCAAGCCAACTGAGGCACCCTCTGTACCCCCTAAGGTGGTGCTTGGTGACCACGTTGAAGGTGGCGGTGTAAAATCTGTACCAGAAATTGCAAAGTATGATGAAGAAAAGGGGGGGCAAGTGGGCTTAGTAGGGAGTAGCTCTAGTCCAAGTCGCCTGAGCAGAAGAGCATTATCACGACACACCTGTCCACAGTGTCACAAGGTGTGCAAGACATCCTCAGCACTAACCCGCCATATCCGCCGCCATGAGTTATCCAGTTCACCAGAAAGAGAAAGGGAAGATGAAGTTTCAGAGCCAAAAACAACAGAGACAGTTGTTAACACTGTTAGCAGAGACTTAGAGAGTGAAAAAGGGCAGGTTCCCAGTGCTCTTTCTGTTTCAGTTATCAGCTATTCAACATCAGACCTGCCCAGCAGTGGTGAGTGTTTGGCATCACAGCAGCATGAAGACCATCTCAGTGAACTGACAGATAAACATCAGATGTCAGAATCCAGTGACACACCTGAACTAACAGAGCTCACACATCCAGCTCCAGAGAGAGAGCCCAGCCCACAAATTGCAGATCTTCCATTAGACAGTCCAGTTAACCTTACACCCAGTAAACAAGATTTCATGCCTGCCACACCCTCTACTCTCCAGAGTGTGCTAGTCATGAATGGACCTGAATGTCTGGACTACCGCACCCTCAGTAAAAAGAACACAGACAACCAGATCCACAGAATACCGAGTCCTGTGCACATTGTGGCACCCACCAACCCCTCTCCCAGTGTGCCTGTGACGTTGCAGACCAGAATAACTACTGCTGCTCCTTCTGTTTCCATGACAACAACTCCCAACTCTGAGGGGGGGTTCGTGAAACGGGATGGGGTCATTATGGACAGAGAGAGAAAGGGTGGGAGTGCTATATTTCTGCGTGCAAGTTATGAGGAAGCACCTCTGGTCCAAGATCTCAGAGTTCAGTCCCTGTCCAGGAGTCCCTCTCCCACTGAAGCACAAGACCTGACCATGTCCTCTATACTGGCGAGAGAAAGGGAGGTAGAGAGGCAGAGAGAGAAAGAGAGGGAGCTCAAGAGAGAGAGAGAAAGGGAGAGGGACATGGAAATAGAGAGAGAGAGAGAGAAAGAGCTAGAGAGGGCCAAGCAGATGAGTCGAGTCACTCATGCCCCAGAGGACCAGATTGCTCTGTTGGTCCCTAAAGAGGAGCCCTTGAGTCCTCTGCCTTCCCCCAAATATATCCCCACTCAAACCACTATGAATGGATCCTCCTCACACAGGCACACTTCCAAGTCCCCCTGCCGGTCCCCATCAACTATTGGACTGTTAGCTCAAGCCAACCGCCAGGTTCACTCCAGTTCACAGGGACTCGACAGGCTGACACTGCCCAGTGGAGCAGCTGGTGCTGGTGACCGCCCCTCTGCCCACGCTCTGCTTCTCCCCCGAGCACCCCAACCACCTGAGCCGGATCACCAGGACACTGTTTCTTCCAGAGATTCTCGGCAGAGGGACGCCACCCCATCGGGCTACCCTGCCCAGGATTATCCCCTACCCCTTACTGTGCCAGACAACTACCACTCTGGTAAGAAGCAGGAGGAAAACCTGCTCATGTCCTCCTATCCTGCTGGAGCTCTTCCCTTTGGCCCACTGGGAAAAGTGATGGTCCCTAATGGCGGGGGCCTGGCCCAGCTGCCCTTTTATCCAGACCCCTACCCGCTGCTCTATG